CAGAATTCGCTTTGTCTCTACACAAAGGGAAACAATAGATTCCACAAAGCGGAACTCTGTAACTGATTTTTTAATGTTTTGGAGCTTTCTCTTTAACCTTTGAAAGGCAGTAAATAATGTTTATTCTTCCAAAATTTTAAATTTGGAATATTTTTCCTCCAAAGCGTAACCATTATGTTTACTATGCCCCCCCCCCCCTTCCTAAACCTCCTGGGGATGGGCTGATGCTCGCGTTCCGGTTCTCGAAAATTTCCATTCCGAGCACTCCAGGGAATCGTTATTCGCGGTACCCCATTATTGTCATCGCCAATGCAATTTTATAAATATGGGACAAGTGACGCAATTATTTTATTGAAAACATACGGTTTGGTGTTTCACCATTGTAAAACATGTCACTAATGGTACTTTTATTTGAAAGATAAATTTTAATACAATTTTACATATAAACTTAAATATTAGGTAAATAAAAAACGAACAAGCAGGTTTGCATTTCCGAAAAAGTATTTAATTTACCATGTGTACCGTCCTAATGTCCATATTACGACATCGCCTTGAATCCACTAATTCTGGCAATAATGACTGCATGTAAAATTCTTGCAGCTTTTTTTCCATATGTTGTGTCCAAAAGATGTCATCCCTATAAGAATGTAAGTGCATGAGTATTTCGCTAGACATATTTTGTAGGTAACATACCTTCTTATTTCCTCAACATGGATTCCCGCTGTTGTATAAACTATAAAATAACAGTTGCTTCTCTTGGTGATGTGCATAATGCCTTGGAGTTGATAGTAATAATTATGACTCCTTTTTAGCATAATTCTATTGTTTTCCTCATCTAAAACACAATAGTCAATTAATTTTAACATACATGCCTCAACAGGATCGTGGTCGCCACTTTTCAAGGAACTCTTAATTTCAACTATACTGTCTTCCCCAACTAAACCGTCAGGAGAACAAGCCAAATACGGTTTTTCTTCATCGACGATGAGACCGCATCTGGTTACCTTTACTTGATATAGGCGTTCAAAGTGCTCAATGGCATTTACTTCGCTCTCCAATCCAAATTGTGTGTATTTGTTTCCTCTAAAAGAACTATACAGTAAGTGTGTTACAGTTTTAGCTGTGGAAGTTGTCTTGCGTAATTTGCAAACTTTCCCAAAATTAGAAGCTGTTATTCTTTTTTTACGTTCAATAATCCATAAATCGCTTTTTGATTGGTTTATTGTATCACGCTCAACATCTCTTCTGTTTAAGTTCTTCAAATCTTTTAGAAATTGGGCTGATTTTAGTTCATATTCTTCCAAGGATAGGTCAGGGATTGCAATTTCGTCCACCATACCGTAATGTTGATCAGCGGTCTGAAACGCTCTTTTCTTGATATGATCTAAAACAAAAAGAAATAATTACAAATAAAAGACGCGGAAAGGGGGCGAGTGATTGTGATAAACATACTTACGTTTTCTAGATCTGTTGTTGTACCGATGTAGTTGGGCGTCTAGGAAGATTTGTGTGTAATGTCCTGGTGGTCTTCCACATAGCTGCTTATGTAAAACGCCTAATAAATTACGTTGTTTGCAATTGTAGGATATGGCCGCCAGTTCACACCTTAATTGGTAGGAATTTTTGAGTGAAAAGTTTATTCTTTTACCTCCTACAAGTTTAGCTATGATGGAATTATAAGTTTCCGCAGGATTATTGTCTGTATCATACAGTAAACTAGAGGCGTGATCCGCAAGTCGTTGTATAATGGTATTAATTCCACCTAGGATCCCGTTTTGGGTATATATATCAACTAAATCATCCTAAAAATAAGAAAACACCTTTAGTATGGAATTAATAAATAGCAAATCAGAAACATTACCTTATTCTCATCTGAACCTTTGCAAAAGTAATCTTTGCAATGTACATGGCGGCCAAAGATATGGTAGGGACTATTCAATATATCCTTCTTTAAATTGTCAATCTTGTCATCAAGTGCATTATTTTCGGATTTCCTGTATGCGATAGCCCTTATAACTGCATTGCGGAAGCGACCTAGCATTGATGGATTTGACACATACTCTCTGTGAGGTTTTGAGTATTTGGTGTCTTTACTCAAATCGCTGAGTTTATTTATGAAGTTTCGAAGTAAATGATTGCGACATTCAATTTTTTTATGTAAAACGATGGACCGTATGGTGCGATTTCAACTAAATGTTTGTAAACGCTACTGTCGCCATCCCCAATTAGTTTTCCATATATAAGATTGTGGCGCGTTATGGAATTTTTAAAACCTTCACCTACAATGGCTGATTCCATGGCTGTAGACGTCTTAGACCAGTTTCGAAAACAATCATGGTCTTCTTCTTTACGCCCTCTAGCACATAAGAAGCAGTACTTATTTTTGACACCCATATGCAAAATTTTCTTTGTTTTGGCTCCAATGATAGATGCCTATAACAATGATTGGGTTATGCTTTGAATAGATAACGTATTCTTATAAACTTACCACTCCTGAAAGGGCAGAATAATTTTTACGATAAGATCGCTTTGCCCATGCACCGTCAGCTATAACGCCAATGACTGGTATACCATCTTTCATTTCATCGGCAAGCTCAGCTTCTTCTTTTGCAGCGACAGTCATCAATTGTTGATTTAATGCATGTACAGAAGGGTATATGGCATTGTGATTTTTTAAATAGGTCACGTTTGACATTTGCGGTATATCCATGGCTGCAAGCAGCTCTGCTAATTGACTGTATCCAATTCCAATAGATAAGGACCCAATAATACCAGCTTGATTTGTGGAATGAAATGTTGCACTACCACCGCAACTTCTTACGGAATCTATTTTCCCACACACTTTACATTTAAACGTAAATATGCTTTCTAAGCCTTCAATTTTTTCCGATTGGATGTCCATGTCGAAGAAAGAGCAACCAAAGCCATCATGTCGTAGAGCTCTAAGAGATGCCAAAAAATGACCAATCTCTACAATTCGGCGACCAGATAAAAATAAGGTATCTTTTTGCTCGCAATGAGGTTCTGTTTCTAGATCACTTTCATAAAATGACATTTCCGAACCGTGTTCGTCTTCATCATTGGTTCCACTGCCTGCTTCATGATTGACGTCTGATAAATGTTCTTCACATTGAACCATGCAATTAGGTTTGTCATCTTCTTCTATACTACTAACAACATTCATTGCCATTTTGGTTAACTTCCTGAAACAACACAAACCGTATAAGTATAGGTATACGTAGCATGTAAGATAAAATTAGAACATGTTCAATTATTTAAAAAAACTAACATAAAAAATTTGTACTTACGCTTCTCGGGCTTTCTGCAATATCACCTTCCTGCTCCGTTTCTTGGTGGTGAAACTTTTTCTTGCTTTAGGCATTTTACCACAATACACACTTTAGTACGTTTGATATAACGCAAAAGTAAGTAAACAATATTTGAAAATCGCTAGGGAAGTTCTTTTATATGAAGTAGAGACGTAATTATATCATTATTATGCAATTAGTTTTTGAGATGCTCATTATTTTGTGTACAATATATCTATTTTTGATAATGTTTTTCAATATCGTAATGAGTAATTATAGGTGATTACAGGTGAAATCATAAGTTACATTATCGATAATAAATTATTTTATGTTTCCTATGTAATGACATTATTTACACAATTATTGCAAAATCTCCTAGAATTTGAAAATAAACATAATTACAACAAATGCAGGTATAGCGTTAAATATTTATAGAATTTTCCTGAATTGACAGTGATTATGTAAATTAGGTAAATATAATAAACCCTCATTAACTCAACAATGAGAAGGAACCTGTGACCTTCTTGCTGCAATTGGTAATGTGTGTTGCATAGCCTTAAATACAGTAAGGCGCAATCTTAAATTTTTGCAAGTGTTTAGAGGCGCCTTAAGGTAAGTTCGTTTAATCTTAAAATTTTATTTCGCATCTCGTCCTCTAGATCATATAGTGTAGATGTTTAAAGCAGTTGCAACCAAACGAGCAGAAACCAAGAAAGGATTTTATTCCTTACAATGACAACGATCTAAAGTTATACAACTAAATCTAAGGTTACAATAATCCTAAAATGGCATTTGCCACCGACTGCTCTTCTAACACTGGTCGATTATAAAACTGAGCAAATACCCGTGATGAAGCAGACCAACCTGCTGTATTTCTAATAACGTCTAGACTGACGCCCTTTCTTGCAGCCATGGAGGTAGCAGCGTGTCTAGTACTATGTGCAGTAAAAATCTTGGTGTCGATACCACATTCAGCCAGAGTACTCTTAATCCAACGACTGATTGACTGAGTCGATGCGGTCTTGTGCGGTTTTCTAAATGTAATGAACAAGTTTGAAATCATCGGCGTTCTTAAGGTTTCTGTTCTCCCCAAGTAGTGTTGTAAAGTACTTGCCACACATAAAGCCGGCTTTTCATGAAAGAAAGGAATTTCCAGTATTGGTTGGAAGCTTTTAGGTCCTGAGGTTTTTATTCTATCTGGAATCCTTATCTGAATTTTGTCCTCGTTCAAAATAATATTTTTAACTCTGATCAGAGACAACGTCTGCACTCGATGTGCGGTTATTAGTATTAGTAACGTAACAAGCTTACGTGTTAGTTGTTCCAAACTTAAGTCCTGGTTAGGGTAGTATGTTGATAAATGGCTTAAAACTATGGTAGGATCCCAAGTATGTTTGTATTTGGGAGAGGATGGTCTTAACTTAAAGACCCCTCTAAAAAACCGTTTAATTCTAGCGTCAGACCCTACTTCTGGTGAAAGTATTAACGAGAGGGCTGACCGAACGGTATTAAGATTACTGTAACTAAATCCTCTATTAAACAAATCGCTTAAAAAACTTAAAATGTTGTTAAAGTTGAGAATAAAGGGATCGAATTTGTTTCCTACACAGAAATCCCACCATAATTTTAAGCCATGGTTATATTGACTTATTGAGGATTTGGTCAGCGAGGCGAGGGATACTTCCACGGCCATCTCTGGAATTCCCTTGTTTTCTAAGGCTAGCCTGATAACAGTCCTGCTACCAGGGTAAGGGTTACGTGCAGCGGATGTGGCGTCCTATCAGCAGATAACAACAAGTTAGGATTAGGTTTGAAATAAATAGGTGGTTTAATTAATAATGCATTAAATAATGGCCACCAAGGTTGTGTAGGCCAAAAGGGAACAACCAAAACCCCTTCCGCGTTATCGGACTTAATTTTCTGAAGTACTCTGAGAATTAACGCGAAAGGAGGGAAAGCATAAAAATTTTTATCAACCCAATTTACAGTGAAGGCATCCACTGCTTCTGCTCCTGGGTCCCTAAGCCAGGAAAAATATCGTTCACACTTATTATTGGTTCTAGAAGCGAAAAAATCTATGTCTGGATGTCTTAAATCGGTACAGATTTTCCGGAAGGCAAGATCACATAACTCGTATTCAGATTCAGAAACCTTACGCCTCGATTCGCGATCTGCTTCAACATTATCGGAAGATTGAATATACGAAGCAAAAATCCATAATTCGCGTTTCTCACACCACTGCCAAATATCTCGAGTCAACGTATTTAAATGTGGATACTGGACACCCCCCATTCTGTTTATATAAGATATAGCAGTGGTATTGTCTATTCTGAGTAAAATATTGGTTTGTTTAAAATTAGCTGCAAAGCACCTCAAACCAAAAAAGGCTGCCTGCAACTCCAAAAAATTGATATGATTTTTGCTTTCCATTCGTGTCCAGAATCCATGAGACCTTTTACCTGAACAAGCTACTCCCCAGCCCGAAAGAGATGCATCACTAAAAATCTCCATTGTGTAATTTATGGGTCTAATACATCTGCTTTCCTGAATGTGAGACTTCCACCAAAGAAAATCGTGCCGCAGTGTGGAGGGAATTGTCATAGTACTGTTGTACTCCCCCCCTGACTTTTTAAGAGCTAAGAATTTTTGCCTTTCAAAATTCTTAGTGTACAGCATCGCATAACGAACCGCAGGCGTTGCTGCAATAATCCTACCAATGAATTTTGCGAAGGTTCTAATTTTGCAACTAAGTTTAGTCTCTAAAGTGTGGATATCTTGCAGAATACGTTTTTGCTTCTCAACTGGAAGACTAACTGTCATCGAGCGAGAATTAAAAACAAGGCCTAGGTACTGTATACTCTGACTGGGTGTAAATCGGCTCTTTTTCTCGTTTATAATGAACCCTAGTTCTTCCAGTAGAGATCTTGTAGTGGCAACATTAGATAAACAATCGCGAAACGAGTCTCCAAGAAGTAAGAAATCATCTAGATAAACATTAGACCCAAAATTTTGTAGTCTATGTTTGGCAAAAACTGGTTTCAATATTTTTGTAAACACTAAAGGAGCAGTGCAAAGCCCAAAAGGAAGACAATTAAATTGAAAAAGCTCTTCCTCAAAGTAAAATCTTAGAAACTTCCTATCCTTAACTCTAATTGGGACTAAGTGATATGCATCCTTTAAGTCCAGAGATGCGAAAAAACAATTCTCCGTAACTAACTTAGTAACTGATCTATAGTCTTCTAATTTAAAATGTTGAGTTTCTATGTACTGGTTAAGCTCTTTTAAGTTAAGGATTAGTCTGTGTGAACCATCAGGCTTGGGCACTAAAAAAATGTTCGACACAAATTGGCCCCTTGAAGGGCGACATTTTGAAATTACTCCATTACATAACAAACTAGTTAAATGAATTTTAACTACTGATAATTCAGTTTTCGACCATCGCATCTGCTTTGGCCGATAAGTTTGTATCGGTTGTTTACTAAAAGGTATAGTATAGCCCTCAATCCAAGAAAGAATAACCGGATCTCGGGTTATTCCACGCCAAGCATTTACAAAAAAACTTAATCTTCCGGCTGACCTGTTTACCTTCACTAACGACGATTCTGGTGTTGGGACTGATTTTGATAATATTTTCTGGGTAACTGTTGGTAGCGGTCTCTCAGTTGTGGTATGTAGTTTTTCGGTCTGCCCCGACTGGATGTGTTCAGCGTCCGAGGCAGACCCCTCGCATTTCCCTGCCTTTTAGGGAAGTTTTTAATTATAGGTTTTGGCTTCGTAGGTTTGAATTCAGTTGATGAACGTTCAAGGGTCTTCGCAGCCTTCATACGCTCTGTAAGATCATTTCCGAAAAGCCATTCACCTATAGGAGCTGCAGCAATAGTCTCCCGGCATTGCTTATTTAGGCCTGATGCCACTAAAAATCTTCTAGCCTCGGATTCTTGGTGATGAGCATCGGAGAGAAGGCGACTCGCATCGCTCAGGTACTCAATAAGGGTCAGCCCTAGATCGCTCCCCTCCTGAGTTAACAAAATCGTCAAACTCCTGCCGATTGCTGCGAGAGCTGCTGCAAGTCGTCCCTGAGTTTCGGCTAATCGTTTGTCCCTTTGCTTGTGTTGTTCTGTCATGGCGGTTTCGATTTCAGGGTTTAATTTAGGTACCCCAATGACCTTGCAGTTTTCTGCTGGGGGATATTTGGATATTAAATCGTTGGCCACTTGTGGATCCAACCCCGATTTCAAGATATTCTCCCAGCGAGAGACTAACTCGACATGCAGTTCATTGTGTAAGGTAACTGCCGGTTCTGTGGATTGGCCCAACAAAGTTAGGAATTCTGACGGAATCGAAAAGGGAGGCACGTTTTCTTTTTCCCCGTCTGCGCTTGCTTCTAAATCCAGAAAACAAAACCCAAATTACAAGGAGAAGCAGACAATTACCAAATTTGTAGCTAAAAAATAATAAACTAAAGCCCAAAGGCCTTCTTTCAACCTCTTCCAACTCCTTGAAAAAAGGAAGGTACCACTGTACCTTTAAAAGACAAAAAAACGTCTATCAAATCTACCTTTTAAATCTCGTTAAAAGTGTAGAGGCAGGTATGTCAAAGACTCGTTTGAACACCTGCTAAATTAGTGGTAAAACCAAATTTGTTAAAGAAGCTAAAGCCTTACGGCCTTCAAAAGGATTTCTTTCAACTTGTTGAAAGATTCTGTCAAGCTACCTTCTTTTAAAACTCGTTAAAAGTGTAGCGGCAGGTATGTCAAAGACTCGTTTGAATACCTGTTACGTTACTGGGAAGGCCAAATTTTCTAAGGAAAACTACTTTCCAACATGGAAGAAGTACAACAAAAACTCGTTTGCGTACTTTGATAAGGCAGGGAACATAAAACAAGGCTTACCACTTTCGTAAAAGAGAGATGTTAAATCTCGATTATCAAAACTTGTTTCCGAAGGACCGGCACGCGGTGTTGATGCTGATTGCTCTGAATCAGCACTGGTATCTACCTCCGTATCGCTGTCACGACCTTGCTTCGACCGCAATTCGCATAAAATATTATACGCGATATCCTGTAATCGATCATCTTTCCTCCTTCTTTTATTTCGCTTACGAATTAGCTTTTTAGCTTTCCGTTTATGACCCATCTAATAAGGTAAAAAACGTTGAGTGGTAAAAACAAAACAACGCGTGGCGTACACTCTCGCACGAAAACAACTAATGAAGCCCGTTGCAAGCGCGACAAGAGGGGAAAGTAGAGGGAGCGTAAGTTTTTACATTGGCTTTAAATTTCGTGGCGCGAACACTGAAACAACTACACTACACTATATGATCTAGAGGACGAGATGCGAAATAAAATTTATCGAGAGCAAATACACGAGAGCTTGATTTTTAATCGCATAATTTTATTTTTACACGAAAGTTTTGTTGCAACGGAAAAAACTAGAAACCAAAAGTGTGATAAAATCGCGACAGTTTTAGCTGGAGCGATTTTATTAATATTATGCTTTTGATCGAGAGTTTTTTCCAGAAGACAACAAAATTTGAGTGAATTAAAAATAAAATTATCCTGACCAAGGTCGAGTGTATTTTAGGGAGATTAATAAAATACAGTAAATTTTACAACCACTACATATTTTACGTATTCCTACACGCATTTTTATCGCTGTAAAAAGCTACCTAGCGTTTAATCAGATAAAAAATCATCTGATTGGTTAGAATTTGAAACAATCACCTAGCTGATTGGTCGTATATTAATGGAGTGTATTAATCATATAAAATACATATGCCTTATTTGCACTATAAAAATTAGTTAGCTACGGAAAGTATATAAAAAAGTAAAAAAGTATATAAGAACTGCTTCTTTTTTTTTAGCAGAATTAACAAATATGCTGATTGATTTAACTACTTTATATAGGTTATGAGTAGGTACGTTCGTTGAAATTTTCAAATTTTGCACTGCGCTGTGTACTAAACGATTTAGCTAGCAATACTGTGGTAGTGAAATTAATACTGTGACTTACAAAAAGAATTGTTTAGTGAGTAGAGCACAAAACAGAAAAATTTCACAAGAAACAGTACCTAATATGGAAATTTTAAAATTAAAAATTCAGAATATAGTACGGTGCAATTAGTCGACAAAACGGCTTAACCTAAACATCAAAAGTAAAAGTTTCCCATTAACTGCAAATTGTTCTATACAGTCCACATATTGTTTGGTAAAAAGTTACACCAGTTGTTAAATTAGTAGTTTTTGGTGTTTTTCTTAAATATTTAGAAAACTATGGGGTTTGGCGAGAAAAGTACCATATCCAAAATAATCTACATTAAATTGTGAATAAAAGTGGTCTTGTGTAAATGAAATCATGTTTGAAGTAAAGAACACTGAAGATCTGGCTTGTTTTCGTTACCATTGTTACTTGCAAGCTATTTCAAAGCATCCTATACATTCACTGTTCAAGTTGGCTGCGCTTCTCCCCACTTCAGCAGCTACCAGGTAGAACATTCATTTAGAACTTACCATCAGGTGCAGCGGTGGCTGCATGAGAAGAAGAACCCGATGAAGTGGGAATGCAAGATTGTCGAACACCTGAGAGCAATAACAACGCATCCTGCAACTCCCCAGGAATTACTGTCCCTCATAGTGGAAGTCTCTTGAAAAAATGGCCCCCCTTGAGAAGGTGGTAAGGTTATCGTTCCTTCAAGGACTTATCAGTAACATACCACCGGTCACTAAAGCTCAATTTGTTTTAACCGGTTTTAACAAAAAAAATAGTTTCCTTAGTGATAATCTCATATTCTTTCCAAAAGAATCTAAAAAAAAGATGAAAAATTTCTACTGTTACACCCTCCGTAACTCTGGAATGGTTCAATTTAGCAAGATTATATATGAGGCCATTTTTGTTCGCAATTTACTGTAGATTATTTATTTTATTTCGCGCTAAATAGTATAGTTTTTTAAATATTTAAGAAAAACTTTTCACAACTACTAATTTTCCAACATTTACTTTTATTCCAAGTGGTTATGTTTCAAATTTCATTTGAATGCCTCCATAAATAAGAAAGTTGGCACTGCGCATGTGCGACGAACTTCCCCCTTCGCTCGTGCACAACCGGTACCTTAAAAGATGAAAGCACAATATTATTTCAAGTTCCTTTAATGGATGACTAATTATATAATTGTACAATTCAATTCACAAAGTAAACGGTCGGTCGGTCTCTCGGGCGTCACCAAGACTTCACTCAGCACCCCCGAAGTCTTGGGAAAAGGGGCGGTGCGGTCTTCGCGGACGGGGTGGAAAGCCTCCGGGTATCCTCTAGTGGAGAACGGAATAACCAGGGATCGGTCAGGGTTCACCACAAAATGGCGGCGGTCACTTCCGGATTATCTAAAACAAAATATGGCCAACGGCCCGGACGGTAAATTTCCTAAAGGGAATAAAACAATAAATCAATTGGGAAATAAAAGCGGAAAAGCAAGGAGAACAGAATATAATGAAGTTTAGCGGAACGGTGGCAAAAGGTTACGGTTGTGCAAAAAAGCGAAACTCAAAACGGTAGTGAAAAGGAAAGGACAACGGCTTGACTTACGGTCGCTCAAACGGTAAAACAAAAGGGTTTCGGTGGATTCGGAATGATACGGTTTCGCAAATTAAAGAAATCAAAAGGCGTACTTACAACTCGAAAGTACGAAGCAGAAAAGATACCTCCCAAATTGAGCGTTTTCCTTTTAAAGGAAACCTATTTTGGTAGAAGTGGAACATGGAATTCCCAAAGCCTCGCTGCATTCGCACCGAGCGGTGTAGAAAATAATTCGGTTTTTAATTAATTGCGGCTCCTGTGGTTATCTTAAAAATCTGGGACAACTTGCAAACAATTAGAAAAATTACAGCGCCTCTGTGGACACCTCTCTCGACTGTTTCTGACACGGTTTACTACTGCCCATTAACATGGCATTAATTAACAGCGCTTACCTAATTAAGCGTAATCAAACCTAACTACTCATAAATCCAATCTGCAACTAGCTCCCTTGGACTTTTCTTCTCAAACGGCGCTATCGCTTTAACACTCTTATCGCAGCATGCAGGCATACGGACGGGACTGCAAAACTTGTAAACAACTCGATTTGAACTCGTTTTATCCTTGATTTTACTTATTATGGGAATCTAAAACATCTTATAAATAATTAACGGCGCTGAAATCAAAGAATATTAATTGCGCCTCATCTTCGCCAGGACAACATCCTTCGGTGGTTACAAAAATAACGCGGTCTTCTTGCGTAACGAAGCCCAAACCAATCGTTACATACAGGGTGGTCTTTGTAAACTGCAAACTAAATGGAGAAATTCCAGGTGCTTCGTTACACATGCACAAAACCAAATTTTGAAACTAGTGATATATTTGCTTTTATTCAAAGTGGCTATGTGTCAAATTTCATTTAAATCCCTCCATAAATAAAAAAGTTTGCAATTCGGTTTATAAATGGTCGAAATGCGAAAAGAGCATTGTGAATATTGATCGATTAGGCTCAATTTTTGGAATTGCGTTTTATATGGCTAAAGCTATACGCATATTGAATTTCATGCAATTCGGTTCATAACTCACGGAGATGTCAAAAGGGCCTTCCTTATTTTTGGGTCACATTGCCAGTTCACGAACTCCGATTTACAAATTTGATAAAGAATCTCGTAAAGAATCCACCTACAAAATTTTATCGTAATCGGAGCATACGTTATCGAGATATCGTGCTAACGGACGGACAGACGGACAGACACCGTAAAATTATAAACTCGCTAGGAGCTCGTTAATAAGTGATAATTTTCTTCCATGGGGATCGTGGTCCCCATTACACTGACTGGCCGCGTTACCTGCACGTTGTATCTGTATGGCAATACTTAAATTTGTCGTAAGTAAGTGGTAGCTCGGGGTTCCCCAGTAGGTAATATTGGTAATGCGTTTTCCCAGGTATTCCACAAAATTTTCGAGCTTCTCTACACCAAGGTCCCAATGTCTCTACTGCGAAAGGTATAAAAATATGGTTCTGTTCTATAATAATTGAACTGTATTTCCTTATTTTAATACTTGCCGCAGATTCAGCTACCACACCACTCGTTTTACTAGAAAATTAATCCAAAATATTTCAGTGGTGCCAAGTCATAAAGCTAGGAAAAACTGTCCCAGACTACTTGGGTGTGGCGCCTACTCTTAAGATTTTGATTCTATCTGGGAGATGTCAGCAAAACACAAAATAGCAAAATTGAACACGAAAAAACAAACCGGTGGTATTATAAAAAAAAGGACCCTCACAATGTTGGGGATTGGGCGCCAGCTCTGCGCTACGTTTAAAGAACACAGCGCAGCGCTTGCTTTTGGTAGTCATCGAACACAATATGGTGGTGTTAGAGGCTAATAAACCACCCCCAAAAGTTAAAGGCTTTTTGCAAAATTTATAATTGCGCTAGGTTAACTTGAGCGCTAGGTCTACAGAACAGAAAACATCAAATTTTTACCCGAAAAGACAAAATGGTGGTGCCTCCTCCACCCACACTATTGGAGGGTGATGACAGCTCTAAAATTTGTGGCGCTAGGTCAGCAAAACACAAAACGTCAAAATTTTACCCGAAAAAACAAAATGGTGGTGCTAGGAAAAATTGCCCCCTGCACTATTGGGGGGTGGCGCTAGCTCTAAAATTTGTGGCGCTAGCTGGCGCTAGGTCTGACGAATACAGCGCTTGCTTTGGGAAGTGATCGGACGCAATGGTGGTGCTAGCGTTAATATAGCACCCCCCGAAAGTCAAGGGCTTTTTTGCAAAATCTATAATGGCGCTAGCTGAACTCAAAGTGGCGCTAGCTGGCGCTAGGTGAGCAGAACACAAAACGTCAAAATTTTACATGAAAAGACAAAATGGTGGTGCTAGGAAAAATTGCTCCCCTCACTATTGGGGGGTGGCGCTAGCTCTAAAATTTGTGGCGCTAGCTGGCGCTAGGTCTGACGAACACAGCGCTTGCTTTTGGAAATGATCGGACGCAATGGTGGTGCTGGCGTTAACATAGCACCCCCCGAAAATCAAGGGCTTTTCTGCAAAATCTATAATGGCGCTAGCTGAACTCAAAGTGGCGCTAGCTGAACTCACAGTGGCGCTAGCTATAGAGATTCTAGCGCAATCTGTCTTTAGTCAAAAATTTGAAATGGTGGTGCTAAGTTAACGGAGCCCATTAATAGCTATGTTGGTAAGTATGAATTACATACTATCCCTAGATTTCCAATAACCCTACATAACTTCACCAGACACAGACACTAATCG